AAACTTCATTATTCTTGTGAAAAATGATAGCCGTCTTATTGAAACTTGATGACAAGTATAAGCCGGCAAAGAAAACAGTGCAAAAGCAATTATCTGTCACATCGATGTCAGCAGCAACAGGATTATGACACCTTACAGTCCCCATACATTTTCTTAGACTAAACGTCTAAGAAAATGTAGGGGACTCTCCGGGATACTTACAGTACAGACGATTTGCGTCCCCTCATGAATTGGACTTCGTAATAGGACAGTTTAAGGGACGGTTACTAAGTCATGCCTGTGTAAATGGACAGAACGCGTAATGGGTGCGCGCTGTTGTTTCGCATTTCGTCGAATTAACTATTTTTGTTTTCTTTTTGGAAAGGTATAACAGGACTTCGTGTCGTCTAATTCTATCTGTAATAATACTAGTGATTGACAAATCAGACTCTCGCTTCGCGGTCGTCCGATTTTGTCAATCATTGGTATGGTTACAGACGGAATTGGACTCCACTCAGTCCTATTACCATTATTAACAAATACTTTCTTCCAGGCGGCATAAGAACGGAACATGTTTCTAATTTTTTCAATATTGCACCTTAATAGATATGTTAAAGAAAACTGATAAGGAATACGGGAAAATGCCAGGCCCCTTTTAGAAACTGATCGTTTGTTATTAACACAGTGCAGTTACGTTTAATTATGAATCATCTTTGATACCCGATTTATTCGATGGAATGGATCTCATGGATTTCCATTTTTGTTTTTTTTTTTAATTTTCCAAAAAAGGATTTACGAAGCTGTGGTCTTCAACAGTGGTCTCTTTCTGTTCATTATTCGTATGGACACCTGTTTTAGTTGAACGGTCTACACGAGTCGAAATAAAATATGAGGAGATTAAAATAGCATAGGAAAGCTCTTGCAAGCTTCTTGTTTGTAGGTCTTTCGATGACTGGTCCAACAATTGTTTGGAAAATTATATATTGGAATGAAATGACTGATAGGGGAATTTAAAATAACAAATGCTTTAGGGGATTAAAATAGGGCACTCATCTTTTTGAAGGAAATTCACGATATCTGAAGTTGGATGAGTAATAATAATTATCCACCTTAAGAACGGATTTCTGAGCTTGGAAATCTGGTTATTGATTTGTGTCAGTATAACATATCGTAGTTGAGGTGTCTGCACACCGCACATTGACTTCTTCTCCGGTTAGGAGCCGATTTTAGAGGGAGGTAGTGAAGAATGAGGGAGTTCGTTCCAGAATGTGTACGACAGTTTTGTTTCTGTGTGTTTGACAAACGTTGTGTGTGTGCGTTCAATTACTATCATTTATCGACGTTTTTATCTTCATTTATTTGCTTTATACGTAATCAAAATTGACGAGAGTTGGAGGCTAAAATTAAGAAGTACCTGTCAATTATTTTATGATCATAGTGTAGATAAAAAATGCCCAAATTTTTCTCTGTCTTTTGTGTCTGAGATCCATGATTATGAAACTAGAAGCGCATATTTTCAGCACCTGAACACTTGCACCTTCAGGATAAATATAAGGAGATTCTGTCCAACAGTTATAGGATGCTACTATTGGAATGATATTTCTATATCAATGCGGGAGAAGCCCAATAGAAAACTTTCAAAAGTGCAGTTTTTTATGTATTATTTCACTCAGTATTTATGAATGTCTTCCTTTGACCATGTGATATTAATATATATGTTGTTAAAAGTGCGATTCCTATTCCGTCTCTTAGATATGAATTGGTTTTGTTTTATTGTATGAAAAAATGTTATTTGGCGTAAAGGGCATCTAATAAGTTTGCTTTATTATACCCATCTCCATTTTTTATTTTATTTTGTTGTAATTATTCAAAGGTTGTGATTGTTGAAATGAAGGAAATAATGATTAAAAAAATTAATAATAATACAGATCGTAGCGAGTCAATCAAGTAGCACTCCTTTCGCTGAATAATCAGTGTATGCTACAAAGTACGTTCATAAACTTTTGTGTTCATACCACTTAATTTGATATGATAAATAAGATAAAAAATCAATAAAGTAGGTAAATAATAAATAATAAAGTAGGTTCCGTCTTCTTCTTTCCATGATAGAAATTTTACACAGTCTTCGTCAGGTGCAAATCCATACCTCATCCCTCATTTGAGACATTCCCACACCATCGAACACCTTTATTTTATCTTCAACAGTGCTGAGCTGTACAAATCCGGTCGAAGGGTCCGCGGTGTTTACCTGATCGATCCAGATGATTTAGGCGCCTTTAATGTGTATTGTGACCAAACTACAGCCAGTGGGGGATAGACAGTGATCCAGGAGAGAATGGATGGCTCTGTTAATTTTAACCGCACCCAGGATGACCACAAACATGGCTTCAGTAACTTGGTCGGTGAATTTTGGCTTGGACCGGACAAGATAAACCGCCTGACCCGAAACAAGAAAAAAAAAAAAAAAAAAAAAGGCTTCGAGTAGATTTAGGAGTAAAAACTGGCAAAACTGTTACCTTGAGTATGGCTGGTTTGAGACTGGGACCACGGCAGCTAACTACCGGCTATACCTTAGCAATATCATAAGTAAGTAAACCCTTTTTTTGGCATTCATCGCTCGATTTTTATACATTGCTTCTCTCACCTAAATCTCGATGTTTTACTCTTCTTGGTCGAATAATGGTATTAGTAAGTAGCAGGCTAGTCCTGAGGTAGACCCACACGTTCTGATTGGTTTTTACTTGGTCGGGAGTTTGGTCTGAGTGCCACATAACTTACTTCTTACTAGCCTTATTTTATTTATTTATTCATTTATTTATTTTATTTTATTTTTTTGCGGAAAACAACAAGTTCGAAGCTATAAAGACATTATACCGACCCTAGAATTATGCGGATTTCCTTCGTTCTGTTTTGAAACAGATGCCTCTGTTTCCTCTGATTCCCTCGCTCCTCGGAAAGATCATTCAATTTCTTTCTCGAAGTCACATTGCCGTATTCCTTCACATCGAAAATTTACTTGGACTGGAGTAATATGGTCCAGTTTGTTTGGATGTATGTGATACGCAGAGGATGGTAGAAAACGCAGTCAGTTTTTTTGTTTAGAGGCTTTGGCTTGCCTGGTGAAACGCGTATATTAAAACTTTTGTTATTTTCAGAATATATATATACTTTTAAAGCTTTATATAATTTTCTTGCGTTCTTGGGGACAGTTTTTCCAGAAGGTACACTATTCTGTAACAGTAAACTTAACGGAAAAGAAGTTAAAACAAAAAGCGAACTAAAATACAAATGAAACAGGGAAAATAACTTTTTATGCGCTTCAAAAATTTTACAGGTAGCAACGTAATTTCTCTTATATTGTAATAAATTTTCATCAAGCCCACTATTAATGAAGGTCAGGTTTCAGCCGGTCTTATTAGCGTTCATTGTGTCCTAAATAACTTTAAGTGTGTCTGATTGTGGTGTGTGGTCAAATGTGTTGAGATTTCATTAAAGTTATTTCACCATTTATCCTGAAGTTTTCAGGAGAATCTTACTATTTGTCGGACCTGAAATAGATTTTTGTGGCATGGACAGTAAAATAGGAGAAGAGTTGGCCGTTTTCTCTCCACCCGTAAAACTGATATAAACCACTTGTGTTTGTGGAGTAAATTGCTAAATTAAGATAAAGTGTCATGAATATGTTGAAACAAGGGAAAATAGTGCTGATCTGAACTGGTAAACCTAGCAAAGTCATCATTGCCTCGGAGCACGTTCCGGATTTCCCTGAGTATCAAAATGTATGAAATAATGACTTCTGATTGATGCATTCCTTCTGATACAATGTTGCGGCAAACTAGAAATTTGAAGAAGATAACATATCTACTATTGGCCATATAAGGTCTCGTCGAATTGTTTCGGTCTCTATCCAAAAACATTTTAAGAAGTTTGTATACAAATGCAATTTATGTAGGAAACTGACCTATGAGGTACGGCACCCTTTAGAGCGGAACTCCGTCGCAAATCTACTCATTACAAATCAATAAGCTTTCGGAACTCTGCATTAGAAGACTTCATCGTTGACCCAAGAAATATTAGGTATGTTATTCACTTAATTTTAATTCTGCTCTTATCTTATCAAGAAATTTGAATGCAAATGACACAATTATTAGGTAAGTGATGTTCCTGAAATATTCTGGAAATTGTTGTGCTGCGTTTTTACTTAAATAAATGCTAAAGCACAGAGAATGAAAACGGTGTCAATCAAAATCTGACCGAATGAAGGTATCACATTACAGAGTAATTTCAATAAACTGTGGATGACTTTTGACAAAATTGGGTCAAGCGGAGGTGGACTTTGATACTATAACGTATTTGTCAGATCAAGCGAAAGATCCTCACTGCAAATATCAAATTGAAAACCATTGTAGGCTCAGTATTCCTCGAGCATAGGAGGTCTTCGACATGCGGATTCCCATGGTAACTCAATCAATAAGAGTTTTAAGTAGAGGTAGAAATATTGTAAAGCAGTCTTTATTTCTTCACAAATTATAAAGTCACATTTTAAAGGTACCTTTTCTGATCTTATCTTTGATAGTACTAAGATAGCAAAGCTTAAAAAATCCATAGACAATATAAAAACTATATTATTAATAACACAACGTATATAAACTCTATCTTATGGCATGTAGTGTTCCACTGTATATAGAATTCTTCTGAATTAATTTTCGTGTTATGAGAATATGTTTTTCCCAAAACTATGTTTGGTGACATTTTAATCGTATTATTCTAAACAAATCCCATAAAGTCTGCAAATAATAAAGCATTTTTGAAACCAACTGATTACGGTATATCTTCTTTGCAAGAAAAGTGTAGTCGAGTCTATGATGCTGTCATTAATCTAATTTGCATTCTAAAAAATCTAAAAGTCTTGAAGTAAAGAGATTGAAAAAAGTAATCGGTGTTTTATTGTAAAACAAACTGCTTCTTGATTTTTGCAAACAGCATCGATTAAGGAGATGCACATTTCATGTAAGTAGAATTCAAGCCACATGCATAAATTCCACTGGTCTTATTTTCATTTCAGTTGATGTTGGAGCGCTTCTCTTGGGACTGCGAGAATCTAAGTATCCCCAGTGAATAGCGGCCGAGGTTTCTTTTCCACAACGTGGATAAATACCATTGAGATTTGACAAAATAGCACATTTAGTAATACTTCTGTCATACCACCAGCCTCCTCCTATTTTTTGAGTACAACCAGCAGGAACCTTATCCCAGGTACCAAAACCGGAACCTTTATGAGGACCGAGGGAATCATTGGAAACAGTGGCATCTGTTTCAAAACAGAACAAAAGAAATCCGCATAATTCAAGGGTTCGTATAGTGTCTTTGTAATTTCAAACTTGTTGTTTTCCGTAAAAAAAAAAATTAATAAATAAATAAATAAATAAATAAATAAAATAATGTTAGTAAGAAGTTTCTTATGTGGCACTCGAACCAAACTCTCGACCGAGTAAGAACCAATCCGGACATGTGGGTCTACTTCGTTCTTCGACCACGTGGAGTTTTAGATCGAGATTTTGATGAGAGAGGAGTAACGTATTAAGATCGAGGGATGAATGCTAAAAAACGGTCTACTTACCTATGATTTTGCCAAGGTTTAGCGAGTACTTAGCTGTCTCGGTCCCAATTCCAAACCAGCCATACTCAGAGTGCACAGTTTTGCCAGTTTTTACTCCTAGATCTACTCGAAGCTTGTTCCTTGTCTTGTTTCGTGTCAGGCGATTTATCTTGTCTAGTCCGAGCCAAAATTCACCGACCAAGTTACCGAAGCCATGCTTGTAGTCATCCCAGGTGCGATTAAAATCGACTGAGCCATCCATTCTCTTCTGGATCACCGTCCATCCCCCACCGGTTGTAGTTTGGTCACAGTATACATTAAAGGCGCCTGAACCATCCGGGTCGATTGTGTAAACACCGCTGACCCTTTGACCAGATTTGTACAGCTCAGCGCAGTTCTTAGCTATTGAAGATAAAATAAAGGTGTTCGATGGTGTGGAAATGTCTGAACCGAGGGTGGGTATAAATTTGCACCTGACGAAAAATTGTGTAAAAAATTTCTATCTTTGAAAGAAAACGACGGAACCTACATTTTTCGTAGATCTTTTATATAATTTGTCGTGTCAAAGTAAATGGTACGAACACAAAAGTTTAGTATCGTACCTTCACTTCAACAATCACAACCTCTGAATAATTACAGCAAAATAGAGAAAATTGTAGATAGGCATAATAAAGAAAGCTAATTAGATGCCCTTTACACCAAATAAATTTTCTTTTTCATGCAATAAAACAAAAGCGATTCATACATGAGAGAGGGAATAGGAATGACACTTTTAACAACAAATATATCAATAGTACATAGTCAAAGGAAGGCATTAATAAATGCTGAGAAAAGTGATACATAAAAACTGCTCTTAAAAAAAAAAAAAAATTTTCTAGTGGGCTTCTCCCGCATTTATATAGGAATATCATTTCAATGATAGCATCTTATAACTGTTAGACAGAATCTCCTTATATTTATTCTGAAGGTGCAAGTGTTCAGGTGCTGCAAATATGTACTTTTAGTGTCATAATCATGGATCTGAGACACAAAAGACAAAGAAAAATTAGGCGATTTTCCATCTACAATATGACCGTAAAATAGTTGACACGTAGTTATTAACTTTAGCCTCTCTCTTGTTAATTTTGATTACGTATAAAGCAAATAAATGAGGATAAAAACGACGATAAACGACACAAATGGAACGGACATAAGCAAAAAAGTATATCATTCACGTTTGTCAAACACACAGCAACAAAACTGTCTTACACATTCTGGAACGAACCTTCATTCCTCGGTTTCTCCCTCCCAAATCGGCTCTAAACCGAACAATATACTGTTTCTTATTCTAATAGACTGTTTGTTGCTCCTTTCAGAGAAAGTTACTGAAAACATTTCAAAGTGTTATCCTTTTTTAACTCGTGAATTGCGCGCATGCGCGAGAGCGAGTTATAGATACGATGTGGGGAATGGCATTCGTTCTCTCGCTCGCTCGCTCGAGTGGTCGATTCCTGTAAACTTTTTTTAGATTTTAGGCTTTTGAGTGCATTTGATAGTTTTTGGCGAGCAATAAACAGACGAAATGGCGACCTCTGTTGCTAAGAATAGTGGTGGGGTGAAAAAGAAGTCAATGATAATCTTAAAAGAGTTTTTTTTTTCGCTTTAGTTTCAACAAGCGGCGCCAGCGACTGGCAGGCTGCAAGGATTCACATTGAAATAACAGAACAACCTTCGTTTTTCAAGAAATTGTAATTTACAATCCTTGAACTTGAAAACAATCCGAAGATTCATTGAAAATATCACTTACTGCGAAGCGCTCGGAGTTTACAGATGTTCAAAAGCTTTTTCTGTTATGGCGTGAGATTGCGGACAAAATTGATCATTACGTTTCGTCGCGTGTGTTTTTCCTGTGTGAAGCAACAAAAGATGCCGGCGACTGACGAAATAACAAGTTAACACGAAAATCAAATAACACCTAAACAAACAATTTTAGCTACCGATTTTCAGTGAATTTTTAAAGAACAATTTTCTTTTAGGTTTCAAGACAATTTGAAGATTCAACATACATACAACGTACTAAAATGCGAAAGATACACACCACAAAATTGATAAATAGGCCTGAAATGAAATTCTATCTTGTTATTGATTATACGTTGCCTAGCACGTGACTTAAATCTACCCAGGCGGAGATCCAAAATGACGGTGGCAGGCTTGGCTTAGTTATATCACTCAAAACTCGTTCCCGTTTGTCTCGTTTGATAAAGAGGGAATCGTTAATGTTTTCATTAAGACAGTATTGCCTTGATTTTCTAATATTTACAACGAAAGACAGTAAATTTCACTTTTCACCCACATTTACTTCCAACCTTTTCTTTTGAACCAGAAACAAAAATGATAGACGTTTAAAACACGACATCATCCACCTTGTCAAATGTACTAGCATGATCATTTCAATTGTAATGCCTTCTTATCCCAACGTTACTTTGTTTCTTTGCTACATTAGCGAACACTGAACTACTGCTCGTAATCTAGATATGACAATCAACCACAAAATTCCCTAAACCAGATAACATTAAACATAGTCTAAAAAATCATGTGTCATTTCACGAGTTTGCTCACAGAGCACTTTGATTTTTTTTTCCTTTCCATGTTCAACAACACTGCTGGTTAAAAGAGTATTGCAAAGGATAAGAGTTCCGAAGAGAAAACTGTATATTTTAGAATTTCAAAATTGGTCCTTTGAAACATAATTTAGATTCACCATTCTGCAGAATAAGTCTCCTGTAATATAAGTAACAATTGAGAGAAGATGGAATGATAAATACGAGTAAGCGAAATATATCTTACTTACGTCTCAACGATGTTCTGTTCTCTGCGAGAATGTTAATCTCAAATCGCACTTGGGTGAGTTCCTTCATTATTTCTTCCAGGCAAACTGCAGTCTTCTTTTGGCAATCTATTGGCAATGCACGTATTGATGGTAGAATTTGAAAAGTGACAAAAAGTGCAAGAGACAGTAGAGCAGAACCTGAAGAGAAGAAGTCATCGAGCGTTATGAGGTCACTTCATCTACGATATGTTATTATATAACATATTTGAAAAAAGGAAGCATAGGATATAATCATGTAAGTTTCTCAAAACTGTGACTTGCATATCGAACAATGTTACACACCTATTCCTTGTCGATTGTCCCTCATTTTGATTCGTCGGGTGTTGTTTGCAGTGTTATTCATAAAGGCTGCAAAAAGATAAAACTAATTTTATGGTGAAGATAAGAAAGAACATTAAGAAACCCTTCAGAAAAAGTACAATGGGAACGTTTTTCCCAAAACTAATAGAACCCTAGATACCACTGGGTTCACTTACTTCACTTACTTACTCACCCTAGCCACCCGCCTCCTTCGTGCTCCGTTCAAGAACTAATAAAAGTCCGTGCGAATTTGTCTGCTAAATATACCCACATAAAACAAAAAGTAGACAAATCCTTTTGTCTCAGGCCGCTCCAGGGGTTATAAATTCTAACATGGCGTCGGTTCGTACCTTCCCACGGTAGTCTCACCTTGTTTCGGCATTTCCTTTTCAACAGGAAATATCTGACTACCGTCAGTATCTTTACCTGATAAATGAGAAGTATGTGCTGACATGCAGATGAAATATAAGTAAAAATATTATCCTCACAGGTGAGCGGCACTTAAAGAAATTCAACTCGAACTTGTGCCTTCCATATCTGAGTTGGGCCCTATTTTCAGATAAACGACGAAGCGAGATGTCGAAAGCGCTCCCAATACCTGCCTTCGACCAAAAATTAAAGAGTAGTCATTACATAGGTGGTCAGAGCCCCAAAAGTGATGGATTTTAATTCGTCAGTTGCACAAAAATATAGCAAAAATATTTCATCTGATGCATCGTATATGTCGGATATTTCGTAAGAAGAATTGCTTTTCTAATTCGCATAAGGTCAAAAAAGCTAAGAGACGTCGTGGGTTTGCGCACTGAGTTCTTCCAGTTTGACACTTGTGGGTGTCAAATCACTCGAGCTCCCTATCAGAAAGAAGCGCAAATTTGTAACTATCTTTTTCTTGTAATTTTTTCGCAGATATTATGTTGCTTTTGGTTCTTAAGCATTTTATTTCCTTCGTTACTTGTTACTTTAGAAATTGCAATCGTATACTCTGAAGTAGAGTTCGCGTGTTGAAACAAATGACGGTTTTTTGGCTATAATTCAATGAGTTTTATTCCATTACCAGTTGTGGCGTATTCCACCACGGGAAAAGAAAGAACTCTCTAAACTTGGCCTCGATCCCAACGTGTGGTTTCGTGTGGCTTCGTGTCTTTTTTCAGGATTGTTGTTTACAATTACTATCAAAATTGCAGGTCACCTGCGAGGATAATGTTGCTGAAAAATTAAATCCACAATTTTTTTGAAGCCTTACACAAAATGCAATAAACAACTGCGCTCCAGTTGGTTCTCTTTAGTTATGATCTATAAAGTCTTATTTCAGAATACCGATAAACAAAAGCCTGAGTTCGTCGGCATGTTATGTGATGCATGAAATTGTGTCCTCCAGGGGGGGGGGGGGGGGGTGGCAACTTGAACTATTGGGCTATAGTATTTGCCACTGTGATCGAGTTAACTTAGAGTTATTCAATAGATTGGCGGTAAAACTAAAGTGGACTGCCGATGTGTCTTTGAATTATTATAGCATCATTCCCTCGTTCTATTCAGACTTCATGTTTAACCAAAGACAAAAGAAGAGAGCGCTTGACGCCCGTTTGTGTCAATGAAATAGCAGAAAGTAATCCTCAGATCTAACTTCACCAGACCAATCCCAAATAGGAAATCACACTTTGTCGTTAATGTAACGATCGACTTCAGGACCGTAGGCATCACCATAACCATCACCATCACCGTACTCTTTTAATTAAACAATGGGATATGAAGGACTAAAAAAATTCGTTTTTAAATTGTGGACCAAACGAAATTCGGCACGATGGACAATGAATCAGCAAAATATTCACATGATACTTGCTGTAAGCCAAATTCAAAAAGCGATCAAAATCACTCATTTTAAAAAAATATTTCCAATCAAACGATTGACCCAGCCGACTAAGTTATCCGAAGACCTGATTATTCTTTATTCTGAATCATCATCGGATTATTCTGAAATGTTCGGAGTTGGACTTCTTCACCCTGCAGAAATGATTATATAGATTGGATTTTTCGGAGATTCTTCCTGTTTCCATGATTATGCGTTGCTTACAAACCCTTAGGTTAATAGTTGGTACAACTCTCAGCCTTTTCAAATTGAAAAGCTGCAGTGGTTAAAAACTACAAAACGTTTCGCGATAGGGTCTATAATTGAAAAAAAAAAAGTACTAGCTCTGAGCATCGCTTATGGGAAAATTTCTATACGCTACAACTCGTGTACCAAACAGGCAGATGTTACATACTAATTCCTTGTCGAGTGCCTGTCACTATAATTCTTTTGGTGTAAATCGTTTGGTGTAATTCTTAGGATATATGCACTTCATAAAGACTTGTAAGACTCACACTAACTATTCATGTTTTAAGCACCTGACTCAAGTGTGTTCGCATGTTTTTCATGCACCAATGTTATGAAATTCAAGTATTTTCCTCTTCGTGATAAATACATCACTAATCAATGGTATTTATTTTATTGAGAATAAACATCACAAGTTGCCGTTAAAGTGCTTATTGCTTTAGTTAGTCTTTGGTAAGTCATGCCCAGAAAGAACATAAACGCGGTTAAAATTGCGCAAAAAATATTTCAATACTGTTGTCCTTTTTCAAATGTTAGAGGAGAAGACTGACAGTTTGTTGGGCAGATACCACGCTTATGTGGCAAATAAGTACGAGGTCATGAGAATTATGTATAGTGTGGAGACAGAAGCAGGGAGAGATTTACATCTCAATTAAGGGATTGGTGATTAAATACCGAAAATGTCGTTAATCTCCCATAAGCCGTGGAAGTCTGTGATGGTAAAGAATCAAGGCGTAGTTTCGAGTAGTCTTGAGAGTCACGAAACTAAAATGAAGATAAATGTTCTTACTGAGCATTTTGAAGTGTTCGTCACAAAATAGATCAGAGGTCTAAAAGCGACACATTTGTTTTCGTCAGTTCCGTCAATAACTGTGAATGTTGCAATGCAATTATATTTTCTTATAAACATTACGATAATGTAAAGGAAAGGAGCGATAAAATTGCCCTATTTATTAAAGTTGACGCTAAAAGTCTTATCTGTCATTATATAATTATGGAATAACCTCACCTAAATGCTGATGACAAGCACCGGCCGTACTTTCACGAACAAGCTTTTAGGTGGTTCAACCACTGATATCCAGAATCCTGTCAAAACAGTCACTTTCCCCACTCGTTTAAAGGCAAAAAAATTGATTGTATTCAATGCAATTGCAGAGTGATGATGTGTGTTAAGCTTTTAAAGAGTTCTTGCTGTTTGCAACATTAGGTGCTGCGTACAAACCATATGAGCTAACAGTTGGTACAACTCTAAGCCTCTCGCAATTTAAAAGCTGTAGCATTGAATAACAGATATGTTTCAAGAAAGGTATATATGAATTACATCGAAGTATATAATTTCCCATGATACACTGCAAACTGTTTACCATACAGCTCAGCAGATGTTATGCAGATGACCTTTTCCTTGTGGAGTGCCTCTCATGGAAATTCTTTTGACTTCATTCTTTGAAAGAATGTACCTAGGTGCTAAGAAAAAAGTTTATTAAAGACAACTTTGGTGTCAAGGACTTATCTAGATTACGAGGACCCTAGCTACCGCTAAGTGCGTGCACATATGTTTTATACACTTTTGTAGTGGTGATCATGAACTTCCCTTATCGCTACAGACAGCACTAATGGTGTTAATTTTACCCAGAATTGCCGTCACGAGGGTTCTGATCGAAAGCGTTTATTGTCTTAACTATTATTCGATAAGTCGTGTCCAGAGAGGCCGTAAATATGGTAAAATATATTTTAAGTTTCCATTTTAAATGTTAGTGAAGGAAATTGACATTCTGTTGATACAGACATTCCACTTCCGTGCAGTCAAAGACGAAATTTTGAATTGGAAAAACAATTTTTTAAGGAAAGACGAAATTCTTAATTGGATAACAAAAAATGTTTTGGTTCGAACTTTGTTTTAATACGTGCAAGGTCGTGAAAGATCTCATCTTCAGGTTTGCCACGAAACATTTTTGTCCGGTTCAAAAAATACACTGATGCCTCTTGGAACTATTTTGAAGCGAGATGAAAATGGTAAAATAATTTCGTGCATTTTTCATGTTTGGCCACAATCCAAACACCCTTCTGAATAATCGTTTTAGACGACACTAAACTATTTTGGGTCATGCACGCCCTGAACGGACTGCTGAAACGTTGATCAACCTTTCATGTCATTGTTGGACTTAAGCAAAATACCAGAGATTCTGTCACTGATGTAGAAAGAATAAAGTTCACATGGCTGAAATAGAAGACTCTTTGTTTGCTTTTTCTTACCTTTTGCTTGGAAGATAAAATCAGCCACAGGTTGCCGCTTCGTATACGACTTTACATGTTTGAGAGCGGTTCAAGCGGACCTTACCGATCGCAAGAGCCTGAAGACAGCATGCCCATTTGACCAAAATTAGCCGTTAACGAACTTGACAAAACCAGCGAACAAAGTAGACATCGACATTTTGGCGTCGGGAAAAACCTACCATCATTGTAAAATTAAAGAAACGTTGTGCATTCCAAACTTAGGATAACTTTTGAATCCCTATTAAGCAATGAGAAGCTGAAGCTTTACTTCTTATCGATGATTAGTTGTAGCTCAGGCTGCCATCCCTCTTTCAAACTTTTCAGTTACTGGCAAGATCTTTAATGGCCATGTAAAATGCAAACCCCCATTATGAGGGTGTGCAAAAATAAAGGTTGCCACTAATAGTAATCTTCAAAGCTGTATAGGATATTTTGTTTTTGGTTTATAAACACTTCTTTGTTTGTCTGCTTGTTTGTTTCAGTTTTGTTTTGCTTTGTTTTTTTTTTTTTTTTTTTTCAATCAAACAACGAAGAGGGCATTTCAATCCCTGCACGATAAGTTCTACTCGGCGTGATTAATGCTAGTGCAATGGCGCCTACGTGTGTGACCTTGTCAACCTCTCTCGAAAACTTCTCTCGAAGAAGTAAACTATATAAGCTTGTTTTATGATCTCTCAAAAGGAGAACAGGATATTGACGGGCAATTAAGGCAATACAAGCAATAATAAAGAGGGACATTTACATAATCAACTCACTTGGCAAAATAAAATTCATCTAGTAGCTTTCCCTACCGACGCAGCGCAACCATGTCTCCAGAAACGTACCTCCTTTATCCATTTTAGTTTGTCAATGTTATTTTTTTTTATTTTTTCTTTCTTTTTATTTCAGCCGCTGTTAGCAATATCGCCGGGTTATTTGCCATCTGTTTCAATAAAATTGAAATTAACGTCGTTGTTATGAATAAGTCGGTTTATGTAGACTTTCCTAGCATAGGAACAATTAGAGTCCCCTTTTTTTAAGATTTTAATCAAAATCGAATACTAAATACAAAATACAAAAGTTTGAATGATAGTTTGACTGTGGAGGGCGTACCCATTCTTTTGATGTGGCGGAAACCGGTGTTTTGCATATCTTAATATTATTGCGTGAACTTGCACCGATAAATGATGACAAAGAAAGGAACTTCCATGAAAAAGCTTTAGCTTCCTAGATAATTTTGCTTTAAAAGTTGGCCTTAGTTTGAATTCATGACGTTTCTTTAATTTTTATAATAATAATCTGTTTTGTCTGACGCCGAAATGTCGATGTCTACTACGTCCGGCGGTTTCAACGCGTTTATTAATAGCTGATGTTTTGTCAAATGCAGTCTTCAGACTTTGGAAAGCGGAAAGAATCACTTGAACCGCTCTGAAAACTTTAAAGTAAATTACGTTGCGGTGATTTGGGGTTGTTTCTCTCTTCTGTTGTTAAAAAAAAAAAAAAAAAAAAAGACAAAAGTCAATCCACGTGAACTTTGAATTTTCAATGGTCAAACAATAATATCTGTTATTTTACTTGAATTCATTACTGATATGAAACGGTGGTCAACGTATCAGCTGACCGATCATGGCGTGTCACCATATTGTACGTAAAAAATAGGTGTTCTCTAATCTAGAGCAGAAATATCCAAATTATCCTTTGTATTGTAGCCAAACGCGTGAAAATATGTATCGAAACTGGTTGACCATTTTCCTTTCGATCCTAATTAGTCTCCAGGGCAGTCAGAAATTTTTGAACGAGGTATCACATTACAGAGTAATTTCAATAAACTGTGGATGACTTTTGACAAAATTGGGTCAAGCGGAGGTGGACTTTGATACTATAACGTATTTGTCAGATCAAGCGAAAGATCCTCACTGCAAATATCAAATTGAAAACCATTGTAGGCTCAGTATTCCTCGAGCATAGGAGGTCTACGACATGTGGATTCCCATGGTAACTCAATCAATAAGAGTTTTAAGTAGAGGTAGAAATATTGTAAAGCAGTCTTTATTTCTTCACAAATTATAAAGTCACATTTTAAAGGTACCTTTTCTGATCTTATCTTTGATAGTACTAAGATAGCAAAGCTTAAAAAATCCATAGACAATATAAAAACTATATTATTAATAACACAACATATATAAACTCTATCTTATGGCATATAGTGTTCCACTGTATATAGAATTCTTCTGAATTAATTTTCGTGTTATGAGAATATGTTTTTCCCAAAACTATGTTTGGTGACATTTTAATCGTATTACTCTAAACAAATCCCATAAAGTCTGCAAATAATAAAGTATTTTTGAAACCAACTGATTACGGTATATCTTCTTTGCAAGAAAAGTGTAGTCGAGTCTATGATGCTGTCATTAATCTAATTTGCATTCTAAAAATCTAAAAGTCTTGAAGTAAAGAGATTGAAAAAAGTAATCGGTGTTTTATTGTAAAACAAACTGCTTCTTGATTTTTGCAAACAGCATCGATTAAGTAGATGCACATTTCATGTAAGTAGAATTCAAGCCACGTGCATAAATTCCACTGGTCTTATTTTCATTTCAGTTGATGTTGGAGCGCTTCTCTTGGGACTGCGAGAATCTAAGTATCCCCAGTGAATAGCGGCCGAGGTTTCTTTTCCACAACGTGGATAAATACTATTGAGATTTGACAAAATAGTACATTTAGTAATACTGCTGTCATACCACCAGCCTCCTCCTATTTTTTGAGTACAACCAGCAGGAACCTTATCCCAGGTACCAAAACCGGAACCTTTATGAGGAACGAGGGAATTATTGGAAACAGTGGCATCTGTTTCAAAACAGAACAAAAGAAATCCGCATAATTCAAGGGTTCGTATAGTGTCTTTGTAATTTCAAACTTGTTGTTTTCCGTAAAAAAATAAATAAATAAATAAATAAAATAAGGTTAGTAAGAAGTTTCTTATGTGGCACTCGGACCAAACTCTCGACCGAGTAAGAACGAATCCGGACATGTGGGTCTACTTCGTTATTCGACCACGTGGAGTTTTAGATCGAGATTTTGATGAGAGAGGAGTAACGTATTAAGATCGAGGGATGAATGCTAAAAAACGGTCTACTTACCTATGATTTTGCCAAGGTTTAGCGAGTACTTAGCTGTCTCGGTCCCAATTCCAAACCAGCCATACTCAGAGTGCACAGTTTTGCCAGTTTTTACTCCTAGATCTACTCGAAGCTTGTTCTTTGTCTTGTTTCGTGTCAGGCGGTTTATCTTGTCTAGTCCGAGCCAAAATTCACCGACCAAGTTACCGAAGCCATGCTTGTAGTCATCCCAGGTGCGGTTAAAACCGACAGAGCCATCCATTCTCTTCTGGATCACCGTCCATCCCCCACCAGTTGTAGTTTGGTCACAGTATACATTAAAGGCGCCTGAACCATCCGGGTCGATCGTGTAAACACCGCTGACCCTTTGACCAGATTTGTACAGCTCAGCGCAGTTCTTAGCTGTTGAAAATAAAATAAAGGTGTTCGATGGTGTGGAAATGTTTGAACCGAGGGTGGGTATAGAAATTGCACCTGACGAAAAATTGTGTAAAAAATTTCTATCTTTGAAAGAAAAAGACGGAACCTATATTTTTCGTAGATCTTTTATGTAATTTGTCGTGTCAAATTAATGGTATGAACACAAATGTTTAGTAACGTACCTTCACTTCAACAATCACAACCTTTGAATAATTACAAAAAATAGAGAAAATTGTAGATAGGCATAATAAAGAAAGCTAATTAGATGCCCTTTACACCAAATAACATTTTATTTTTCATGCAATAAAACAAAAGCGATGCATACATGAGAGAGGGAATAAGAATCACACTTTTAACAATAAATATATCAATAGTACATAGTCAAAGGAAGACATTGATAAATGCTGAGAAAAGTGATACATAAAAACTGCTCTTAAAAAAAAAGTTTTCTAGTGGGCTTCTCCCGCATTGTTATAGGAATATCATTTCAATAGTAGCATCCTATAACTGTTGGACAGAATCTCCTTATATTTATTCTGAAGGTGCAAGTGTTCAGGTGCTGCAAATATGTACTTTTAGTGTCATAATCATGGATCTGAGACACAAAAGACAAAGAAAAATTAGACGATTTTTCATCTACAATATGACCGTAAAATAGTTGACACGTACTTGTTAACTTTAGCCCCTCTGTCGTTAATTTTGATTAGGTATGAAGCAAATTAATGAGGAGAAAAACGATACAAATAGAACGGACATAAGCAAAAAAATATATCATTAACGTTTGTCAAACACACAGAAACAAAACTGTCTTACACATTCTGGAACGAACCTTCATTCCTCGGTTCCTGCCTCTCGAATCGGCTCCAAACCAAACAATATACTGTTTCTTATTCTAATAGACTGTTTGTTGCTCCTTTCAGAGAAAGTTACTGAAAACATTTCAAAGTGTGTGTTATCCTTTTTTTTTTTTTTTTCCTTTCCACGTTCAACTACACCGCTGGTTAAAAGAGTATTGCAAAGGATGAGAGTTCCGACGAGAAAACTGTACATTTTAGAATTGTAAAATTGGTCCTTTGAAACATAATTTAGATTCACCATTCTGCAGAATAAGTCTCCCGTAATATAAGTAACAATTGAGAGAAGATGGAATAACAAATACGAGTAAGCGAAATATATCTTACTTACGTCTCAACGATGTTCTGTTCTCTGTGAGAATGTTAATCTCAAATCGAACTTGGGTGAGTTCCTTCATTATTTCTTCTAGGCAAACTGCAGTGTTCTTTTGGCAATCTATTGGCAATGCACGCATTGATGGTGGAATTTGAAAAGTCACAAAAAGTGCAAGAGACAGTAGAGCAGAACCTGAAGAGAAGAAGTCATCGAGCGTTATGAGGTCACTTCATCTTTGATATGTTATACAGTCACATTTCCGAATGAATTTCTGACAACAAACAGAAAGAAATCATGGAGTACTTTTGATTGGGAAATCTGGGTTTAGTTTTTGATATCCGGATTTCGGATTTTGCGACAAAACATGAAATCAAAAACCAGATTTCAAACCTTAAAAAATCCGCTCTTAAAGGGGATTATTATTATTATAAGGTATCCAACTTATGATATCACGAAATCCTTCTTTTGCTTTCTTTTAAAAGATGAGTTCTATTTTTTAATCCTATGAAGCATCTGCTACTTTTAAATTCTCCTATCAATCATTTCATTCCAACGCATGATTTTCCAAACAATAGTTGGACAAGAAATTGAAACACCTACAAACAAGAAGCTTGCAAGAGCTCCTCTGTATTATTTTAACCTGCTCGCAGTTTTTTAAAAAGAACAATAAATGTTAATTTTGGCATTCCCAAGGTAGAAACGAACTCAAAACTGAATCTGCTTAATCCAAGAGATTCAACTCAACCAACTATCAAACAAGGCCATCGAGTGTTTTGAGTGAAATTGTTCAGGGCTCATTGCAAAAGAAAGTTGTAGGCTGCCACGAGCGTGAATGATCGATTGTTTCAGATAACTAACTTTACTTCATTTATCATACCACGACTGAAAGATTTCAAAGCGTTTGGAGTTCGACTACTGTTCTCTGTGATCGAGTACATTGACTGGGTTTTCGAAGAGTTGTTAGCGTTTGCTATAATAGGAGTCGCATACAAACCCCATAGGTTAAAAGAAGGTGCAAATTTCAGCCCCTTCATATTCAAAAGCTTCAAAACGAAAAAACCCATATTTGAAAAAAGGAAGCATAGGATATAATCATGTAAGTTTCTCAAAACTGTGACTTGCATATCGAACAATGTTACACACCTATTCCTTGTCGATTATCCCTAATTTTGATTCGTCGGGTATTGTTTGCAGTGTTATTCATAAAGGCTGCAAAAAGATAAAACTAATTTTATGGTGAAGATAAGAAAGAACAGTTAGAAACTCTTCAGAAAAAGTACAATGAGAACGTTTTTCCCAAAACTAATAGAACCCTACATACCACTGGGTTCGCTTACTTCACTTACTTACTTACCCTAGCCGCCCGCCTCCTTCGTGCTCCGTTCAAGAACTAATAAAAGTCCTTACGAATTTGTCTGCTAAATATACCCACATAAAACAAAAAGTAGGCAAACCCTTTTGTCTCAGGCCGCTCCAGGGGTTATAAATTCTAACATGGCGTCAGTTCGTATCTTCGCACGGTAGTCTCACCTTGTTTCGGCATTTCCTTTTCAACAGGAAATATCTGACTACCGTCAATATCTTTACCTGATAAATGAGAAGTATGTGCTGGCATGCATATGAAATATAAGTAAAAATATTATCCTCACAGGTGAGCGGCACTTAAAGAAATTCGACTCGAACTTGTGCCTTCCAGATCTAAGTTGGGCCCTATTTTCAGATAAACGAAGAAGCGAGATGTCGGAAGCGCTCCCAATACCTGCCTTCGACTAAAAATTAAAGAGTAGTCATTACATAAGTGGTCAAGGCCCCAAAAGTGATGGATTTTAATTCGTCAGTTGCACAAAAATATAGCAAAAATATTTCATCTGATACAGTACTTTAATGAGATGGACAGGAGCAATCGAATTATTTCATCAATCACAGTTGACGCTTATGGATTATAAACTCTCTAATGTGGATGACAAGCACCGGCCGTGTTTCACAAGTATTTCTTCAAAAGGCTTGGCGAATGGATATATCGGATATTTCGTACGAAGAGTTGCTTTTCTAATTCGCATAAGGTCAAAAAAGCTAAGAGACGTCGTGGGTTTGCGCACTGAGTTCTTCCAGTTTGTCACTTGTGGGTGTCAAATCACTCGAGTTCCCTATCAGAAAGAAGCGCAAATTTATAACCATCTTTTCTTGTAATTTTTTCGCAGATATTATGTTGCTTTTGGTTCTTAAGCATTTTATTTCCTTCGTTACTTTTTACTTTAGCAATTGCAATCGTACAGTCTGAAGTAAAGTTCGCGTGTTGAAACAAATGACGGTTTTTTGGCTATAATTCAAAAGCAAGTTGTGATGAAATCCGGGTTTGTTCTTTATGGTGTCACATATTGCTAATTAGTTCCATTCAATAAAACTGTCCGGATATTCCACTCAGATATCGAATGGAATAGAAAGCTTCCGGAATCTTGTTTTAAAAATTCTTTTCAAGCCCTCGAGGTCGTCTATTTTCGCGGAAATTTGAGAATTCCGACAACTAAATTAAACCTGTTGTTTTATAGGTGATGTGGAGGACGTGATATAGCTAGCATCAACTTTGGGAAGTCAGTTTAAACACAAGCGTCAAACGTGGATGAATAACTAGGTTCGTTTATCATAGAAAATACATGCAGCATAATCACTGTTTGAGTGGGAATGGAAGGAGATGTTTTCGTTCTGTTGCAAAATACTGTTCAATTCGACACGCGACACAAATGTTTTAGAAATTCCAAACCGGAATCTTCGGTCGAATTGAAAGTGCACAGAATATCAAAGAGCATCAACAGCTCGCAAATCACTCTTATTTTTCTTCTCAAGAAAAGTCCCTGTTTGAGAGCTCTTTGTTAAACCACTTCATTCTTTGATAACACCTTATATTCTTCTAAACACATCAAGATCTCTCAGTAGTTTCTGTCAAGTTGTGCGGGCTTACTCGGTCTGTAGGAAACATCACTTAAGGTGATGTACGGACTTAAAAGGTCTAATGGAAACACCACTCTGTCAGTTGCACAGACTCTCTCAAGTTAAATGTATACATTAATTCAGTTGTGCGCATTTTAAACTCGCTCAGTTGTAAAACTCATTTCTAGTTCTGTTGTGCGAACTTATCCTGTCAGTTGTCGTGATGACACCCTGAAAAGTAGCTGATTTTCCTTGATAACGGTCAAACATATGTTTTGTGGCTTTTATATAAGACAAGCAAAAAAGAAACAAGCGATTAGCAAAGCTGGGATTACTTTATCTCGTATTTCGTTCACCATCCGTGGTGATATTAGATCAACGAAGCTCATTCTCAGAAAAAGAAAAAAAAAAATACAATCGAGCAATCCCTCAGCGTGGCAAATTAACCTTTCACTCCATGAGACTGAATTTCACCTTACCAAATCAATTTTGTATCGAGCAAAAGTTATAAACATAGACAGAATTGTCAATAGGAGGTTCATCTGTTGATCTATTGCAATATTCTTTAAACTAACATTCAAAGGAATTTTATGCCATGGAGAAACACTTTTAAAATGTGGAAGTGAAATGATTGAAAATGAGAGCTGACAGCTTTACGGTTCAATTCGTTGATCTCGCGCGTTGGATTTTTCCAGGGTATTCTTTTTCTCAAAATAAAAAATTATCTCATTCAAATCTGACCAAGAGTTTATGTGACGTCTTGATCAGACCGATTAAATTAAACCAAGAGACGAAGAGAGTTATTAAAGTGGACTCTTGCTGCTTTTATGATGGAATTAAGAGAGGCATGGACTGGTTTAAGTAAGCAGCAAGCCAATTAGCAAGTTAAAAGGATCAGAGAGAAATGGTCAAGAATAAGAAGTCGTTCAGTTTCACCTTTGCATTCAAATGAAACCATGATCCACGCAGATGAACGGAAATTTTAGCAAACACGTGCCACCAAAAAGCAGCCACGAAACTACACGTTGAGAGCTCTAAGGAATAGTTTTATTCCATTACCAGCTATGAAATATTCCACTATGGGAAAGAAAGAACCCTCTAAACTTGGCCTTCATTCCAACGTGTGGTTTCGTGTGGCTTCGTGTCTTATTTCAGGATTGTTTACAATTGCAATCAAAATTGCAGATCACCTGCGAGGATCACGGCTTTGTTTGATTTCAATCCACAGACCCGACGAATTTACTTCATTTCAAATCGTTTCATATTTGCATTGTAAATTTACTGCTTGCTGAAAACTTAAATCCACAGATTTTCTGAAGCCTTACACAAAATGTAATAAACAACTGCACTCCAATTGGTTCTCTTTAGTTATGGCCTGATAAAGTCTTATTTCACAATACCGATCGGCAAAAATCTGAATTCGTCAGCATGTTACATGATGCGTGAAATTGTGTCCCCCAGTTGAGGGGCAACTTGAACTATTGGGCTATAGTATTTTCTACTGTGGTAGAGTTAAGTTAGAGTCTTGTATTCAATAAATTAGCGGTAAAACTAAAGTGGACTACCGATATGCGTCTTTGAATTATTATTGCATTATTCCCTCGTTCTATTCAGACTTCATGTTTAACCAAAGACCTATAATTCAAAGCGGCTGACGCCCGTTTTTGCCAATGAAATAGCAGAAGATAATCCTTAGACCTAACTGCACCAAAACAATCCCAAACAAGAAATCACACTTTGTCGTTCCCATTAATGTAACGATCGATTTCAGGGCCGTAGGCATCACCATGCTTTTGGTAGCAACATGAAGGCAAGTACTCTTTTAGTTAAAAAATGGAATATGAAGGACTAAAATATTTGTTTTTAAATCTTAGACCAAACGAAATTGGGCACGATGAACGATGAATCAGCAAAACATTCACATGATACTTGTTGGAGGCCAAATTCAAAAACAGATCAGAATCACTAATTTTAAAATAATCTTTTCAATCAAACAATTGGCCCAGCCGACTGAGTTTGGAAATGGAAATTCTACCGAACTTGGAAAAATGACATTGTATGCTACCTCGTGCGTAAAACTCCAACTATATCCGACGAACTGATTATTCTTTATTGTAAATCATCTTTGAAATATTCTGAAAGTTCGGGGTTGGACTTTTGCTCCCTGCAGAAGTGATTATATATATTGGATTTTTCGGAGGTTCTTCTTGTTTCCATGATTATGCGTTGGTTACAAACCTTGTAGGTTAATAGTTGGTACAGCTCTCG